ATAATTGCTCACGTTGTAACAGTGTAAAATTTTGGCAAAATCTGATTACAAATCCAATATTAATTAAATGTCCTTGTTTTCATCTCATCGATCCTGATGTCAACTTTATGTCTTGAGATAATCAATGTGAAACATTGTAGATCCAAATGTCAATTTTATTTCCAGTGTAACAGATAACTTTATTGACATGATCATCTTTGCTGATCAATTTTGTCAACTTTATTTCCTTGACGATGTTATTTATTTTTCATAGATTTATTTTGTTTAGTTCATTTTATAATTATCAAACATGTATAAATACCTTTATATTTTTATTGAGAAAGGATACCAATGAATAAATCCATCAATTAATACATACCTTAAGAAGGAGTAAGGATAATATTTCACTGCACGAAATTATTACCTTAAGACCTTACAAGGTAGAGAACTTACAATTTATTATATTATTAATAAAAGTATAATTAACCAAGTTAAAACTTATCCTTCGCAATCCCTTTAACCTGTGTATATATATATTATTGTTTATTAACTTTGCGTGGTATTGTATTGATTCGTTGTATTGACTTAAGGTGTAGTCACTGAAACGTAATCTCTGAAATATCCAGAAGTTACTCGTGTTTAATTGAGAATAATCTTTGACGTTTACTAAGAATCTTCATTGTGATTCCCTAAGTTTAGTCTTAGCATTATTTATTTTGAGAATTTTATTTGAGTTACAAATCGGACGTAACAACGTTATGAGAAAAAAACAGCAAATATACATAAACACAGTATTGATCATGATAGAGCTTGAGGTATCCTTTTTCTTTATAATAAATGTTGATGATCTTTTATATATATTTTATAATTGAAGAACTAGAAATTGCGAATAGAAGGGATTTCATCCTCATGCAACTTATCAACCTATCCCATTTATTATAATGCAATTTACAAGAATCATTTACTTATAAAATAAAAAGAATAAATAATTACTTGAAATACATATATAAATTATTTGTCTTTATATAAAAGGAATAGTTTACTAAATTATAATCTAAAAATATAACTAAGAAAATAAATATATTATAAAAATATAAGAAAAATAAGAAATTAAGAAATTATAAAAAATTAAGAAAGTTTTAGATCTTAGTGATTTATTATGATTACAAATCATGAATTATAATTAACATTATATTGTATATTCAAATCAATTCTTTTTAATTTCAAAGCAAATTAAACCATCTTGAAATAATGTTTTTTTTTATTGTATGTATTTCTACATAATTTTTATTTTAAAAATGATTTTCCTTTTTTAATATTTTGTCAAATGGCATCATTTCTTGTATCACATCACAAAATTTGTTATTAAACTTTTGACAAATATTTTGATCTTTTTTTTACTAAGTAATGAGATTTGTTTTTATTATTTTCAATTAAATCAGTAATTATAATGGTTTATTTTAAATTATTAAAAAAAAATAAAAAAATATAAGAAATTAAATACAAAATTACATTTTTATCTCATTACAACTTGTATAAAAAGAGAAAATATAAATACAAATCTTACTGAATTGTATTTATATAAAAAAATTGTTGAAAAAAAGATATAAGAAATCAAATACAAAATTACAGTTTTATCTCACTGTAAACCCAAATTCTTTAAACTTTGAATTATTTTGAAGCACTTAATGTATTGCATTTGATCGAACTAGTTTAGTATTTTTATGACTTCTGGATCATATTTCGTAGATGATTGAATTTTCAATTCTTATAATATGCTAATAATACATTAGGGGACTTACTAGGTAATTATAAATCCTTACATAACAACCTATCAATTTCTCACTTCTATTAGATTTTCAGAATTAAAAACTAGTATTTTGTAGGTTCCCAGATCATTATCATTTCTCATGCTACTTTGACAATGTGATCTCTTACAGATTCTTTTGTGATTATGTTCAAAATAATTGACTTTATAATTTTCTGAATAACTACACATCTAGTAATCAGATTTCATGAATTTGGGCTTGATGAAAGTTACGAACCTGTTAAATTCAGTTATTCAATTATCATAAATGTAGGGCTTGTAATTGTCAAGTTATTTATGTTCTAAGTTTATTATGGTAAGTAAGACTTTTTTCCTATATTTTAGTCAGGAATTTTATCAGATGTGGAATTTTTAAATAAAGTAATAATCTACAAATGATTAACATTCTAGAAATTTAAAAATTTGCTGATCATTCTAAAATTAGAAATGATCAATTATATATTAAATATATATTTTAAAGAATTTGAATTAGATCAGTTGACCTGAAAGAGTTAGGTTTTGAAGATATTCTAAGTCACATAGATGAATTTTAAAATTTGCAAGAGTTTTTAAATTGGTTTTATTAAATAGCAAAAGTGAAATTATTATAATATTACAAATTCTAACAAAGAAAATCTGACTTATTGTGATGAAACTTTGAACGTGAATAACATGAGAATTACCAGCCTAATCATTCTAAACTTTAATGATTAGATTTACAGGTTCTAGACTTTCTAAAAACCAAAATTTAAGAATATTTGATCAGTAGAAGCGAAATCATTCATGAAATTGTAAAGGCAATTATTTTTAACAAAATTATTAGAATATCTTGAGCAGGGCTTAATACCAAAAATGAAGCAAAGAAAGTTGAATAAAATCTAATGAGAAAGAATACAAATTTCAGGTTTTATAACCTTAAAGGAAATGAGAAATTAGTATGATTATATGTGAGAAAACATAGCTATTCATGGACTTTCAAAATTAATATTATGATGCTATTATTACATTATAATTACAATCACTGTTGTAACATTATCCAAAGGATGTAAAAAATACAAAACTAAGGTGATCAGATTCAGCTCGTTGAGGGTTTTAAAATAAGCTAAATTTGATAGAAATTGGATCACAGGAACAGAGGTTAGCCAGTTTTTAGTTAAAAAAAAGATTTATTTGAAATAATAGATTAATTAAAAAAATCTAATTTATTTAGACTTATAAAATTAGTATATATGAAAAAGCATAATTTTAAACTTGATTTAAGAAAAACTGCTTTATAAAGTCTTAGGGATTCTAGTGGATTCTGAAACTATATACTTGAAAATATATATTTTAACGCTTAATTTTATTAAAATAATTAATCTAATTAATCTAGTTGAATAAATTATCAGATTAATAAATTAAGGTTTGTTATCTCCTACAGTACCGAATGTATAAAGAGAATCCATACTAATTTCTTATATTTAGATTGTCTATTATAATTTTGGAATAGTAACCTTATAATTAAAGATCACATATTTTTTTTGATAATAAAAGAATTTGTTTGCAGATCATGTCTTTTTATGAGAATTTTGATCAGCATTTTTGGCCAAACATAGTGAAATCTTCCTATGACTGCGATGCTTACATTACATATTACATGTGACCATTAAAAAATAATAATACTTGAGGCTAATTAATAAACGCCAAATTTCTTTTTTTATTCAAAAATGATCAACATCCATGTGAATTTTATATATTAATAAATACTGAAATTTTTTTTTAACGGTATTTTTTTTTTAAAAAAAAAAATTAAAATTTAAAAATTTAAATATTTTGAAAATTAAGTAAGTAAATTTTCTTATATTTTTTATTTAATAAATAATTATTAATTTATTATAAATATTTTTTAGAAGAAAATTAGTAAAAATAAAAAATGAATTATTAGCATATTAGCAATATTGGGGTATGCCTTGCTTGTTGCAAGAATATTGCTATTTATTTAATAAATAAATATAATTTTATTATTACTTTTGTTAATTTTTTAAAATAGAAAATACATAATCAGCATCAGTTGGATACGCCTATTCTAAAGCAAGGATTTATTTATTTCTATGATTTATTTTATATTTGATTTTATATTTAAAAATTATTTATTTTAATTATTTATTTTATTTTAATTATGTATTTTAAAAAAAATTCAAAATTATGCATTTAAATTAAATTTTATTTTTTAAAAAAAATTATGTTATTATATTTAAAACATTATGTATTTAAAAATAAATTATATAAGAATTTCTTTTTTGATTCAATTTTTAAAAATTATGTAAAATTTAAAATTGTATTTGCGATATATCTTAAAATAATTAAAATAAAATTCTTGAACAAAAAATGGTTTAAATTTAAAATTTACTTTTTTATAATTTTTTACTGATCTTTTAAATTCATGTAAAAGAATTTGTCAACAATTAATTGGTTAAAAAATTTGGGGTCAAAATTAATTTTTATATCTGAAATTGGAATTTCAATTTCAGTTAGTTAACTGATCTTCGGATCTCAATTTCAGACGCCCAAAAAGTATCTGAATTCCAACTTCAGACGAAAATCAATTTCAGTCACAACACGATAACCAAAAAGCGCAAATTAAGGTTATAACTGACATTCTTGGTAGAATAATGAACATTGTAGAGATTATTTTTAATCTCTGTATAATCATTCTCTTCAACTATTGAATTTTCGGTTGTAGTGATTATAATTCAATTTGTACTTGATCTTTTCGTGTGTATTTTTACTTATGCAAAATCTATTGCTAAAAGATTTAGCTGTGTGAAATATCAAACAATACAAGATATTAATCTTTCATTGTCATCATATAACGCATATTGGAAAGTTTGTGGTGAAGACTGTTTTATATCGATTTGTGAAGAAAGACCAATAGGTGATAAGGTAATTGTAGAAGTAAGGGGGAAACTGCTGGGAAAAATAAAAATGAGTTAATGATAAATTTGAATATATTTCAGCCTAAAAATCATATTTGGCATATAAAAGTAAAATCCGACAGTTTCCCCTTTTTCTATTGCATAGGTCCCATATTACACGGCCACATGGTCCTGTGAGCGTGTAAATGTTCCCAACCATCATTTTGTTTTTTTTATTAACATATTCGAAGGGTAGTGAGATAGCTTTCTGTAACCACGATTCTATAAGTTCATGAGTTATATCTTCAATTGTTCCTGCCATGAGAACTGATAATTCTGGTTTTCCGCAAACATATTAGGGTGGTAAATTTGTAATAGTTACTACCCTCATAGTAATATATATGCGTTATGCAGACGAGAGTCATTTGAAAACGTTGCACGTCAGACAGAAGGTTGGCAATATGACTTCAGACAAACTGAAGGGAGTTGCACACCAATTTCGGATGGCGAACCCTCATTTTCAGAAGGTTGACAAACGTCATGCAAACGAAAGGTTGATAAGAATTCTACAAACGCATACAATTTCCTGTCTGATTATCCATAATTATAAAGGCGAGTTAGAGAAAGTGTTAAAAACCGAGTTAAAGAAAAATATAAAATTTTCAGTGAATAAGAAATTTCAAAGAACTAACTTAGCGATTGTTGAAAAGGAAAAAATCGAAAAAACAACAGATGATTTAGTGATTTAAGTAGGATTAAATAAATTTGCGTCATTTGCATAAGATGATGCGTGATTAAAATTCCGTATATAAACATCGAGGCTAATAATTACATCATCATAGTAAAGTAAAAAAATTTATAGAAGGGCTGTACTCAGAGAATATTTCTAATTTTTTTATTTAGATTTTAATGATTTATTATTAAAGAAAGCCTTCTATATTTATATAATTCGTCTCGTTTCCAAAATCTCTCATGAACATTCATCGTTGTTGTCAGTAAAATTAAGGTTGAATAACAAAAGCAACTTGAAAAGGTGATGAATTTGGTCTTAAATCAGAAGAACGTTGAACACAAAATGTTATTTGAGGCGCAGAAAAATTTTGCTACCTAATTTAATTAAATTTGTATGTGATAGTTTTTACCATTTTATTTAGTGTAACAGCCATTAATTCCTTGTAATTTTAATTAAAAAAAAAAAAAGAAAATTTCTGACAAAAAAAAACAAATATATAAGCAGCGCCAATGTTTGCAGGAAAAATTACTAATGGTAACGACATTCAAAGTACTTTTAATAATAATGTTGAAATGTCAAACACGAACATGAACACCTTTCGCACTCCGGATTTGAATTTTATTTGTCTTTACCTAATCAGTCGCGAATATATCATGTCACATATACCGAATTAAGTTCCTTGGAAATTGCAAGCATGTTGAACAATGGGACAAATTTATCTTACCACAACGTCCTATCACTTAAAGATTCAGCCAATTCTCGTTATTCATTGAGGAAGCAGTCAAAAAAATCTTTATCATAAAATCTTCACTCATTGCTTTAATAATATTTGTATAATATTTACAGTATTTATATGTTAACATTTTCCACCTACAAACATGTGAAATGCACGCATGAGGCATTAACAGTTGTTATAAGGCATTAAAGGATTCACAAAATATAAAAGAATCACATCAATTGTATTTTATTTATTAATTATGGATGCCCCCACAAGATACAATGGATTGGATTGGAAGCAATAGTTTTATTTATCACTTGTAGACATTATTAAATAACCGGAGTAACATATTTTTTTCAAAATTTTCGTATGCCATGGTAATTACATGGATTTTAAATAATCGATTCCGTCATAGCATTTTTGGAAATCAAACTCGTTCCTTTTTTTTCATCCACTTTTCAATTTCATTACTCATAAAATCATGTACCCGTCACAAACCGTCGAAGAGTTCTTTGCTAGAGACACAGTTAATTGTTACAAAATATGTATTTTAAAATTTTTTACCGATTTTACATATAACTGACTTTTTGATCCTCTTAGAAAATTCCGATAAAATTCAATCAAGATGTTCAAGGTCTTGGAAGTTTAATCGGAACAGATAAAAATAAAGTAAAATTAAAGTTGTTTCTTTTTTTAAAAATAATAATAATAATAATAATCTTTTCAATTTGTAGGAAATATTGAAAGATCAAATTGTTGAATTTCCTTTCTATATCGCAAAAGAACTTGTCGAAAGGTTAGTTTCAAATATATTTCCAAGGTTTTTCGTTTTAATACTAAATGTAATTTCGAATTTTGACCAATAAATTTATTATTCTAGAGAAATTTCAACTTTGCAAATACCAAAACTGTTTGCAAATGATGTTATGAATGCATTAAAAGTTACTCCCATTAATATGAATTTGAGAAACTATTGTCCTCAGTTCTATACATTCGCTTCTGATTACATTTTACTGTATCCTTACCTTTATCTTGACAATACTTTAACATTAATGTTTGATCTTCTTTAACTTTTGTGTCTCCTTCCATCCCAAAAAAGGTGGCAAGAAGTTATAAATCGGGAACATCAACTTTATGGTGATGAAAGACAATATCAGTTGGATTTAACCAAAATACACGAATTCTCGGATATTCTCAAAAGGGTATCTTTATCTATCATGTTGAAGTATTGTTATTATCTCAATTCTTCTTTACTTAAATAGATATTTTGCGATTACTTTTCAAGAGTAAAATCGATCGAGCTGTGGAAATATTGAATAGAGCAAAACGTTTTTTTGAGGACCATAATGATTTCTTGGAAAAATTAGATGACGAAGAAAGAAAAAGTAAGTGATTAATGATGAAAATTGATTATAACGAGAAAAAGTTTAAGCTAATTTTTTCTTTTTTTTGGATAGTGTTTGAGGAACAGAGGCAAGTGTGTGAAGAAACTTATGTTGATTATACAAAGATTTGCACATTATAAAAAATCGATTTATATAATTCCCTATAACTGAACTCGATAGAGACTTGAATTGTTTGTTTTAGAATGTCACTTTGAACGATTTTATATATAATAAAGAGACGAGACATGTTTTATGAAAACCTTTATCTGTTTTAAGTTTAGTTATATATAAAATTCAAAGTCGCATTTATCAAAAACCTTTTTCTTTCTTTTAACAAGGTTTTTATTTTGTTTTTTGATAAATGTATTTAAATCATTCTTGGGTCTTACCTTTCCTACTCGTATCTCATCTTAGTCGTTTCCTGATTTCTTTGGTACGAGGAATCAAATTTGATAACCTTGTATTATTCGAATAAATGTATGCAAAGCTAACTTTGGCTCTTCCTTTCTTCTATTAGGAATAACCGCAAATGTTCGTATTATATATCAGTTCTTCTGCATATTTGAATCACAAAATAAATAAAATAATGTAAAATTATCTATATTAACTTATACGAAATGTCGAATTAATGTTCTGATACATCGAATGTCCGCTCCTTTACATGGTATTAAAGAATAATAAAAATTCACAAGATGTACAAATTTATGCGTTACACTACGCTGTACGTCACATTAATTTTTTTTAAAAAAAAATACATGGAATTCAAGACGGTAAAAAATTTTCATATTTATTTTAATCTTCTCATTGATATTTTAAATTTCGACAACTGCTTGGTATTCAGTCTCTTGATCCTCTATTAAATCTTTATGAAAACTTTTCAAATGCCTCTCAAGATCATAGTTTCTTTTAAACATGTATTTGCAAGAATTAATCAAACATTTTATGTTCCTGCCCCTTTCATAATCGTAGCCAGTAAGGTGTTCAACATCTGTAACTGATCTGTTTGTATTAGTATCACCATTTAATTTACGAATCTTACGTTGGCGTGATTGCTATTATCGTTCCGAGGAAAAAATAAATATTTTTTTAGCAAAGGAATATATTTATTTTTTTTTTCCTGAAAAAAAAAAAAGTGTATCAATTTACCTCATGAATAGTTTTAATATGATTTGTTAAAACTTTTTTATAAGCAAATGACATCTCACAAAACGGAATTTCACAAACAAATGGACGAATATTTTTATGAATTGCTTTGGTGTGAATACTTAGTGATTTGATCTAAAGAAAAATTAATCGACATGAAATCAGTAATTGCTCTTTCTCAAAATCAGAAAAAGATAACGTCATTTCTCGAATGCAAACTTACACTGGAAAAATATTTATCGCAACCTTCCCAGCTACAAGGAAATAATAAACGATCGGGATCATGAGTTTTCATATGAAGTCTCAATTGTTTAAAGTCTTTAACATTTTGATTACATATTTCACATATCGGTTTATGATCTTGACGCAAATGTTTACAAAGTTGATCATATTTGACAAAATCTTGCGTACAACCTTGGAAAGCGCAACGCCATCTTTTTTGTCCTGAAAAAAAAAAAATCTCACTTAAAAATGAGGATTCCTAAGAAGGTAATAATAACCTATAAATGAATAATACCGGAGTGTATTCTCTCATGATCTCGCAATTTGGTAGAAGAGGAAAAGCTTTTCGTGCATTCGGGATGTTCACATGGATAGGGTCTTTTCCCCGTATGTATAGTCATATGACTTCTTAAAAGGTAATCTTGCGTGAAAGATTGATTACAATCTCGTATATTACACTATAAACGACAATTTAACATGATGAGTTCCTCAATGAAATAGGTAAAACCAAACAGAAACCGATGATAATACCTTGAAGGGTCTTTCAACTTCATGCTGTTCCCTTTTATGTCTCATTAAATGATTTTTAAGAGAAAATTTCGATTCACACCCATCCACCAAACATTTAAAAGGTTTAGAATCCTCACCATGTGCTACAGCATGAACACGTAAATGATCTATACGTCTATATGATTTCCCACATCCTGATTCAGAACACACAAAAGGTCGCTAAAATCAAATTAATTTTTGAAAAGATCAAACTTAATTTAAAGGTGATGAAATCATTCCAAAAAGTCATTACCTCCTCAGAATGTGTTATCTTATGCTTTTCAAGTCGACATCGAAATTTGAATGATTTATCACACCCCTCAAAGGTACATTCCCAGGAACGATCCCCATCCATAGTACCTTCAACTATAAAACTTTCATTATTTGGATCATCCTCTTGTGTCTTATCTAAAGATGATGGATGATCGATATTTGCAATCATTTTCTCGAATTCATCGTTACTTGTTCCAAATTCATGTATATAACTTTTTTGACTATTATCCGATGATTGCTTATATGATTCTTGTTTAGAATTTGTGATATTAATTTCTCTCATGGTAATAAATATTAATCCATAATAATGGATAGAGAATGAAAAAAAAAAATAAGGATCGACTAAAAATTATTCTGAAGTTACACAAACATTTTTTTAAAAACCCGTCACATAATTTTTTATCTCGATAAAAAATGTCAACACCCAATCATATAACACATCTAGTTCGTATTGACCATCTTTGTAAAGATTGGTGCTCAAAACATTCTCGTTCTTGCGCGTACTTTTCTTCTTTATTAAACATATTAACGCAACGAAAAGATACTTCTAATTTTCTATTTAGCTCAAACAATGACAACCCTTCCAAAAACTTTTCTTGTACCAATTTAATACCTTTTTCATCTCATAAAAATCTTCCTTTCGCCTTACAATCGCAACCTTTAACTTTATTAATTTATAAGCAATCTCATGAAATTGAAGAAATACTGACAACAATTCATTCTATTTTAGATGAATTTGAAGAAATCATTAATTTAATGAAGGGAATTTTAAATCAAAGTAATAAATTAGTTAACCCGAGTCAAGTATTTGTACCAAATAACACGTCTTCGTCTTCACCTGATTCACCTAAGGATACCAACTCCATAACTTCAACGCCACCTACAACACCAACAAAATCTTCTAAAAAAAAGAAGTCAAAACAATCTCCCAAGAAACCAAAATCAACTCCACCCAAGAAGCAAATAATTAATTTATTTGATAATTTTGAAAATCCAGGCGACATAGCTGATATACCAATCATCACATCAAATTATTATATTGTTAGAATTGTTGAAATGTATGAAAAGGAATTATGTTATAAAAAAAATTTGATTTTCGGTGGATGTTTTAAAATCGATCATAATGACGAGGGAATAAATAACGTTAAATTGATTAGTGAAAGGTGGGCCGTTCAACCATATTTGTTGTTTGAGGTGGAAGAAGAAATATTTGATAGAATTAAAATTTGGAAGCGAGTTAAAGAATTTGAAGCTTTGAAATAGAGATGACCAAGTCATTATTTTATAACATTTAGGAAACATGTGGCATTATATAGGCAATATATACAAAAGAATCCGACAATTCGAATATATATATAACAATTAAGTTTAATGATTAGAAAATTCTTTTAACCAGCTCACTTATACAAAAATAACGATTGACTAAATTAATAATATATGTATAATATATATAGCTAATTTTACATTTTTTTTTTTTCTTATTTTCTTTTTTTGTAAAAGTGAGAAAAGAAATAAATAATATTTGTATTATATTAATAAGTGATTGTATGTGTATTTTTTTCTAATAATTTATATAGATTTAGGCGGTATATAAAATAAACCAAATCCTCTATCAACTTTCTAATGAAAAAAAGAATTGTTCATAAATATTAAATACAAAATGTCTGTTTTATACAAATAAGTTAATGTCCGTCCATTTTATCGACAAACAGCAGGAGTTAAAGTTACCCTTATGACATCATCCTCGTCTACTGAACTTTGACCAACTTTTTCGTTTTCGACAGGATTACAATTATCGGAATCGGCTGATTCCTGATTGTCATTTGTTATTTTTATACTTTTGGGATTTGAATTATTTACTATCGTTGAAGGAGAAGCTGCAGAGTATTCTTCTTTAAATGAGTTAGTTACAGGCTCAGGCGAAGCTGGTATTATTGTTGGAGAAGCCAGTGCGGTTGTTGTCGTCGTTAAAGCAGTTTTTAATGCACGTATTTTACCTGTACGTGTACTTTTATTATTTGCTTCTGTTTTTGCTACAATTTCTTCAAATTTTTGCATCTTTCGTAGTTTATCGGAATTTTCTGTCGCGGCCGATGACTTTGTTTGTTGACGTGTGTAGCCAGAACTCGTAGATCCTCCGGGACTTAATGGCTTTGGAGAACTACTTGAAAAAATGGGTGATCCTGGCAATGAATAATTTTTTGGTGAAAGAGGTGAGCGTGGGGACAGTGGAAAATTTGGAGTCGTTGATTGCGATTTCAGCAAACTTGGCGTCGTAAATCGAGATTTCGGTTGATTCGAACTTGAAGATTGTGATGATAAAGGGTTCGGGGATGTTACTCGTGATGATGCGGGCGTTCGTGTTATTGGTAATGATGTTCGGGAGGGAGAAGGTGATCGTGAATATCGAGGTAGAAAAGAAAAGCTTGTTGGAGATTTCATTGGTGATTTTGGTGATCGGGGTAAAAAAGAAAAACTTGGAGAACTCGGTGATAAAGAGAAATTTGTTGGGGATCTTGGAGATAATGGGAAGTTGGAAATTGTTGGGGAGTCATGAAGGGATGTTGATTGACTCGATTGTTCACGTTTATTGAAAAGACCAAAAAAGCTCATCCCAAGTCTGTTAGATCTTGGCGTTGTAGGAGCAGGAATTGATGAAACTGGTGAAGTTACAACGGGTGATGTAAATATAGGTGACGTGACCTGATCCTCGGAATCTTTTTCAACATTATCAATCGTCGGTTTTATAAAATCTTTTACTATGTCCAATTCCTCGGAAGGTGTTGTAGTCGCGGAATTAACTAAAAAAAGAGATGGTGGTCCTACATTAAATTTATTTCTTTTCGATTCTGAACTCTTTCGAGATGATAAATGAGTAGGAAAAGGTGGTTGCTCGGAAGAAACTGACTCCGTACTTTCTCCAGCCATGGTTGGTAAATTGTAAAGAATTGGTGATAAATTGTTTGTTGTTTTTTGTTGAAATTTCAAGTCAGCAGGTTTGATGATTTCATTTGTTTTACGTTTAAACGGTGGCTGTGATGAACTTGGTGATTCTTTTCTTTCAACCTTCACGAAATTTTTCGATGCTGCAATCGATTTCATTCCCGTTTTTACTTCTTTACTCTTTATGCCATCTTTATTCTCTAACTTTATTTCAGTTTTCTTTATGCCATTCGTTTCCATCTTATTTCCTCTTCTCTCCCTTCTTCGCCTTTCTCTCCTTACTTCTCTGTCTTCAAGTTTCGCGTTACTGCCTTTTTTCGTCTTTTTACGTATTAAAGACCTTTGATGATTCAGGTTTTGTTGAGCCGCATTAGCTACCACCAATTCAGTAAATGATGCAGCTAAGCTTTGTTCCAACAATTGTCTTCTAAATATTTGTGAGGCACGATTTGCTTGCTTAACTTCAAGTGAAACCCTTGTTTCTTGCGTTTGGGTTTGTTGCTTGTTTTTCTCTTGAGTGTTATTTTTAACTTGTGTCTTTCTCATAGAACTAGAAGGTTCCGACTTTAAGCCAGCAAACGCATTTTTAGGGTTAAATGATTGTAAAAATGATCTTGAAGATTTATCCACTTGTATTGTTGGAATTTTTTTGTGCATTGGATTAGAAAACGAACGTTTCTTTTTATGTTGAGGTAAAGGTATAAGTGAAGCATGAATTAATTTTGGAGGATTAGTTGGACCTGGTACCCATGGGAAACCTTGACTTTTTATTGGCGGCAAGTCTGTTTCCATATCAGTTGGGTCATTACTTGATAAAGGATTTGATGTGGGAGCGTATTCCATTTGAGGACGTCTTCTTGAACCTTTTTTCAAAACTTGCTGTGAACGTTTTAAATGAGAACGTTTCGTAGCTTGTGCTCTATTGACGTTTGATTTCTGTGTTTTTGACGTTGGAATTTCCGAAGAATTATTATTCTTGTCTTGTACTTTAACAATTGGATTCAGTCTTTCTTTTTTAATCGGTATTCCTGATCGAAGCTTTCCTATTGGAGAATCCTTCCTTTGCTGCAAAGCATTTGGTAAACTTTGCTGTATTTTAACATCATCATCATCACCATTGTTCTTTTTTTTACTTGAATTTAGAATGGCGTGTCGTTTATTTGATTGATGAATTTCGACACTTTGTATTTGTTGAGAATTTCCAGATGATTTCAAAGGTGACGTTATTTTTTTTGGAGAATCCGAAATTATTTCTTGTTCTTGAGTTATAGACGCAGATTCCTGATCAAATTGCTGCGTATTTAACTGTGAATTAGAAACCTCAACCACTTTTACAGTTGTAACGACAATTCCACCTAAATCCGAACTTTTTATATAATCATCAATATAATTCGAATCATTTTCATTAGAATGATCTATGGCGGATATAATCATGGAATTCGTTAATTTTACAGGAATGGAGTTTCTCTCTTGTAAAGGATGTGGAGCCGACAAAAGTGGTGGTAAAGATGTACCAGGGATTGTCCACCTTGTGGCTTGAACTGCTGAATCATTATCAATATTACTTTCATTACATTCCTTTTCTGTTATTGATGGATTTGTATCATCTCTTGATGAAATTATATTTTCATAATCATAATCATCTTCAAAATCCTTCCAATCTAAATCCGAACTTGTGTCGGAAGAAGACATAGCGGTAATATTATGATCATCGAATTCATGATTCATTGATATATGCGGTGTTAATTCACCAGCGCTATAATACTGACTAACGACAACATCATCTGACCTTGACATATCAATGCGATTTTGAGAAGACTCTTCTTACTTTATGAAAACTAAATTCGAAGGAGTTTTGAAGAATTAAAAATAAAATCAAAAAATATTCTGCGCCACACGAAATGAACAAATAATTGCACTTTAATAATAACTTACCTCGAGTAATCTTATAAAAAGTGATGAAATTTTTTTTGAAACAACGGTTGATGCCTTTGCTTGGAGTTCTTCAAGCTGAAGATAAAACAACCTTTCTATAATAATTTTCAAATAAATTCAGTTCAGGATATTAAAATTTTTTGAATTTCTTTTCCTTTCTTTTTCCTTTAACTACTTCTTTTTTTTTTTTTAAAAAAAAAAAAAAAAGATTCTTAACTATTTTACAATTTATCAATTAATTCACTTATTTTCGGGGTATCAAATGATTCCTAACTTTAGAAATCACCGTGACGTCATGTCAAGACAAAACTCTCTCGACTTCTTTTCAATACCAAAACAAGTAATTAAATATATTTTAGATTCAAAAAAAAAAATAAAAAAGGATACGGAACCAGCCAAACAAAAGATGTCCCGAATGATTGTGTAAAAAAGTTATATCGGGAATGGGAAAGAAGGGTAAGAAGACGAGGAAAAAGAGTTGTGTATTTAGAATGGTATAGATGAACGAGAATAGAGAGAATTGGATCTCACTTATTTTACTTTGTTTAGAAAGGAGAGAGAGGATTTAATGTCAATTTTAAGGAGAGTAACTTTTTCTTATGAAATCTAGTTAAAAGATTTTTTTTAAGACATTTCTTGATAACCAATGAATAAAAACCGTAAATTACATACACGGAAACTTAGGAGAAGGAAAAAAAAAAAAGTTTCGTCAAAAATAAAAATTAAAAAAACTTTTTTTAAAAATTAAAATAAGATTAGTTTATAATGCTTTGCAATAATAACAATAAAATAAAAGCAATAATATATGTGCAGAAAGGTGCTTGATCAACAAATCGTTGGAACATATTGAAATTTAATATAATACTGCTTCAAAAGTTATAGCATATGATTTGTACACAACATTTGGTTTGAATTATTTAAACCTTGAATTTTAAACACCTGTGAACTCCACACCAAAGTTGTTTAATTTCTTGTATAATCTTTTCCTAAAATGCGCAATTAAAAGCGTATAGAGATAACATCGAACAAAGTTAACGTGAGTGACCACCTATTGCGAGTTCCAAACAAATATACATTTCTGTGCTCTTTGTTGAGCCACTAAACCAATTTCTTAATATTACTTATAAACAATAGAAATAAATAAAAATAAAAAAAAGAGATCGAATTTGGTGGTTTCAATCTGTTGTGTCAAAAAAGTTATTGAGCGACACCACATTAATTGGTGTAATTTAGTAGGTAATTTTAGTGATTTTACACACGCAGTTAATTTGATTAACGCATAATTAACGTTAGTCCTAATTTGATTACATTCGCGCTTACACAAAATTTTCCATTGGAAACCTTTTCTGTTCGGCCTTATCCTTTCAATATAAAATTGATAACATGATCAAAATATAAATAAATCTTTTTTCTCATGAACTCATTGAAGTTCTATACTTTTTATTTCGAATTCACGATAAGGTAATGAATAGCAAAATGAAGACTTGGATATGTTGATCGTGAGCGTGAACCAATCGTATCATTTTGTCAGGATATAATGGGAACCCTGGAAAGAATATCAAATTAAGTTTGTCAATGCAGGTTTAAAATATCGTGTTTCATCTTTATTTTAAAATTACCATTAGAGGAAAGGTGTGAAAATTTTTATTTTTATCTATTATACCGTAAGTAATATGGTTTTTTCCGAAGGGATGATTATTCCATGAAATTACTTATACTGTATGTATTAATGATCCATTAAATAAGTTGACCAATCAAATTCTATGGACGCTTACAATGAATCGTCTCCGCAAGAAGGACTTTGAAATTTTAATCATGATGCTGATGCAAATAAAAGCGTCAGTATGTGAAAAAAAGACTCAAAGCCATTCCTGTTCTTTCACATAAATAAACTTTTTTTTCATCATCATTCATTCCCTTTGAATCGTTTTTTTTGATGCTTGTAAATATGAACCCGTTGCCTTCGCACCAAAACTTCATCCAACAAATAAGTCAAATACGTCGAAATAATATTAATTATGATGTTATTTTTATCGTAAACCGAAAACCTAATACCAAGAAAATGATCGGCCATTCTCTCATTTTGAAAGTTAGATCATCTTATTTTCAAAAAGAATTTCGACGTATGGACGAATGTAACAAATTTGATACGACAAATTGTTATCAACTTAAATTTCCGGAATATACTTTTGAATTATTTGACATAATTCTAGAGTAAGTTCCTTTTTATTATTTTTAATGTCTATTGTCTTTTATTTTAATTTATTTTGCGGTTAGGTTTATCTACGGTAACGAAATCGTCATTTCGACCAAGGATCCTGAATTCATCCTAAACTTAATGAAAGCTGCCAACCGTTTCCAGCTAACGAATATGGTTGAATATATTCAAACTTACATTATCGAATCTCAGTCCGGTTGGATCAACGAAAACATTTTCAAATTAATTCCTGTGTTATTTGATAACGATGATTTTCCACAACTGCGGACATCAATTATCCGTTTGATCTGTAAAGACACGAGATGGTTTATCAGATTTGATCAATTTAATGAGTTGTCTGAAGAGTTCTTAACCAAATTCCTCCAAATAGATGATTTATCAATTGAAGAGTTTCATATTTGGAATGCGGTGCTTGATTGGATACTTGAAAAGAATGTGAATCTCTGTCAAAAGAAAAAAGTAATTCAATGGTCGGATCAAGAGGTGGATTATTGTAGGGTGGCATTAAAACCTTTTATACCGTTTATCCGATTCTTTCAGATATCTAGTTTTAAATACTGGGATTACATTCATGAGTTTGATAGAATTTTACCAGAAGGACTTGTGGAAGAAATGTTAAAATATTATTTCAAAGGTTCACCACCAACAGATTACCCTTTGTTGCCATTAAGAAACGTTAGGAAGATCGATTCGGACTTTATTTCGTCAAAGCAAGCTGAAATCATTTCACTTTGGATTGAAAATAAGGATTTAAAAAAGTTGTTTGGTCTTGAATGGGAGTTCAAATTTAATCTCTTGTATAGTACAAGGAGGCATGGTTATTCTATCGAGGAATTTCATAGAAATTGTGATAATAAAGGTGCAACTATTTTGGTGATCAAAACTAACATACCGGAAGAGATCATTGGTGGTTTTAACCCTGTTTCTTGGAGCGATAACGAAAGTAGGAGTAATTTTGAATCAGAAGTTTCACCAAGATATTCCCCAGATGACAGCGATGAAAATTCACCGATGGACACAGGGGAACATCCACTTACGATTTCTTCTACCGTCGATTTTTCCCCGACAAATACTTCAAGCGATAGTAATAATTCATCTAATGGTGAACCTGTTGAATTGTCCCCAATAGCTACTTCAAGCGATGATAATATTATCTCACCTAATTCACCTTATGATAATAATACCATTACTTTATTCGAACAAACCGATGCTTTCTTGTTTTCGTTCAACAAGGGTGATAGGAATAATATGGGAAGGATTAATTCGTTATGCATGTGGGAATTTATTCATAATTGTGGAGAATGCGGTCCATGTTTTGGTACGACGGACCTATGGATTTCTCCTAAGATTGTTCATTCAACGAGGTATAATATTCCTTATCAATGTTTAGCAAATTTTGGATATCATCGACAAGATTCATACGAGATCAATTTAAGGGACGAACCTGGTGGTTTTCAATTCGTAGATTACGAGGTTTTTCAGGTGGTTCGTGTTTAAAGTAGAATAGAATGTTTATGTAGCTTTCAATGTTTACTCTTTATATATTTCGACAATTTAACCCATCGAAAAATAAAATGTAGAAATTTAGATTCAAAAAAATCCTTATTACTTGTCTAGTTGTATACTTTTAAAATTTAACGAGATGTGATCTTTAAACGAAAAATAAATAAAATAATAATTCCCGGAAAAAAAAAAATTTAAAATAAAATCAGAAATGCTTCTTAATCCATTAATTCCAATACTAAAATTTTGGGTTTAAATTTCATTTCTTTCATCATTTTCATCATATAAATTTATACATTATAATCAAAAAATTCTCATGTATATTATTAACTTTAAACTGTACAGTATATAAAGTAGTTAAACAACCGGTTCATTACACAAATGATGTCTTTCCAACTTGATTATAATTGTTTTAACTCTATTAATAATTAATTATCTACAAAATGGGGGAACAAAGGTTTTGATACGAGAACTTTTTGAATACAATAATAATCATATGTGCGTTATTTGCCAAGATTGTTCGATGACGATCCTTTTTTCAACCAATTAAACTGTATTTATATTGTTTGTATCCAAATTCCGACTCCTGCGTGTCAGTCATTTGCCCCCTTTTGTTGGGGTTTGAGGCAAAGTTTTTGACAATTCTGCGGTTAATTTTTTTAATTCATGTCAAATCATTATCAGGTCGTACTCATTTATTTGACAATTATAAAAGTATCGGCAAATCTTTTGACGCTACCAACCACATTTATAATATTCCTTTCCTCCAAATATATATATATATATTTATATACTTAAAATGGTGTTAACTGTTGTATTTACCGGTACTTTGAAACTAGACACTCGTGAAGCTCATGAAGCCAGAGCTCAAAAAAATGGGTATAAAGTTGTGAAATTTGTAATGAAGTCTACGACTTTCCTCGTATGTGGAAAAGACGGTGGACAAATAATTCAAAAAGCAAAGAGCATCGGTGGTGTGAGAGTTATCAGCGAAGAAAAATGGATGAAAGTACTTGGAAATATGAAAACGGCTAAAGCTGGTTATAAAAGAGCTAGAAGCGATAACAATTCCGAAAATAGATATCAAAAAAAATTAGTATATTTGGAATCTCACAAATACAATAGATTTTGGCAAATGAGACGTGTTTACAAGACAACTTATATCCGAACGGGTTCGATCGGTGCAAAAGGAATGGAGACAAGTAAAGAACATGAGACCAAGAAGCTTGCCAAGGATAGTATGGCTTCGATGATTGCGGCTAAAAAGTCATCTGGATATAAAGGCGCTAGAAGACCACAAGAGCTTGATTATGATGACTCATCTGACTCATCTGATGAAAATGAAAATGAAAATGTTCAGGTTTCCTATTCACCTCAACATAAACAAAAGAAGCAAAGGACCGATATTGAGGAGAATAAAGAGGATAGTAGTTATCAAACTGATTCTACTTTACGTGAAGATGACGTTGAACTAAATGAAACCGATGTTCAATTGATTGATATGGGGCAAGATACCCCCGTCCCCGCCCAAGATGCTGAAATTAAAAAGAGCGCCAATGTTTACTCATGCAATTGTCCAGATTGGAAAAAGGTTATTAAGTTATTTGGCATGTTATCTTATAACCTTTTTCATTATTTTTTTTTTTTTTTAATTTATTAAAATTATTTGTTCACAGGCAACTAAAGAAGAAAAGCGAACCTGCAAACATTTGAAAAATTGTTTAGGCGAAAAATCAGAAATCAACCGTTTCGATAATAAAAAGATTTTGTCAACACTTCCAATGTCGATTATGAAAGGAAATTCTGTCGATGTACTTTTGGCCCATTCTTGGAAACCTGATGAAGTTGACCCAACCGGTTGGTGGGTCTCAGAAAAACTTGACGGTGTAAGAGCATTTTGGAATTCTAAAAGAGGAAAATTTTATTCAAGAAATGGAAATGAGTTCGTGGCTCCTTCTTGGTAAATCGACAAATTAAGGTATTTTACAATTAGTATTTCACCGAGATTTACTTACAGTATATTCGTGTTGTTATTATAGGTTTACTGATGGAATTCCAAGAGACCAAGATCTCGATGGAGAACTTTTTGGTGGTAGGGGAACATTTCAATCCACAATAAGTATTGTGAAAGCTGGAGATAAAGAATGGAAGAATATAAGTTATAAGGTATTTCTTTAAAGTTATTAAAATCATTTTTATTGTTTTTATACTTTTATTAAATAATAAATATTACATAGGTTTTTGATGTTCCAACCTTGGGTCGAATTCCCTTTGAGGAACGCATGGACTTTTTGGAAAAGATGATCGAGGAAAACAAGTAATTATATTTTGTTTTACGAATTATCCACGTTTAAAAATTCTAATTTTTTTCGAACTTTATTAATAGGCCAAAATATGCGAGATTTGTTAAGCAAAGACTCGTCAAATCCGAAGCGGATGTTTACGATGAACTTGATCGAGTTGAAAAGTTGGGTGGCGAAGGACTCATGCTTCGTAAACCAGGAAGTTTATACGAAGCGGGTCGGTCAAAAACTTTATTAAAGGTGTGTAAAAATTTTTGAAAAACTTTTTTTTTTTAATGCAATAGTTCTTTAGTTCATTTATTCATTTATTTTACTTTAGGTTAAAACTTTCCATGATGGTGAAGCTATTGTTATATCTCATGAACCTGGTAAAGGTAAATATTTAAGACAATGTGGAGCACTTCGATGTGAGATGGCTTGCGGAAAAGAATTTAAAGTTGGTTCAGGAATGAATGATCATGACCGTGCCAATCCTCCACCGATAGGGAGTATAATTCTATATAGATGCCAAGAACTCACAAAGGATGGATCTCCAAGATTTCCCGTATATCTTGGTGTAGCACTTGATAAAAATGGTCCAATGGATCCAAATTTCAGTCAAAAAATAAAGGTAAATAGTTGAAGAAAAAAGTTCGCGAGGGATTATAAACGATAAATATTGTTACAAAGAAGTTTAACCTTTCTAATATATATATATATATATATATTTATTTATTTTTATTTATTTGATAAAGGCATAATATTATAACTAGTCATTACTTATTTCGATAATAAAAGAAAAGTTCTATAATTATTCCAAGATAATGACTTTGTAAAGAAATCCAGTTGATGATTCCTTTAGAATTATAACAATCAATCTTTGCAATTTCTCTGTTCATTCGTTAACTACGCCATTGATCATTGTTTCTAAAAAATTTTCTAATAATTATCAATTTATATATAATATATATAAAGTGCGTCATCCTATATAAAATGTCAAAAGTGAACGAAAAACGAATAAGAGAAATCGAATTCTGCTCAGTTCTTCTTAAGGAACTTTATACAGAATACAAATATTCTTTACTCGGTGAATGGATTTTAGATAATTCCATGAGATCTTATGTGTGACGTAATATGACCAGTAACCTCATTTTATTTCAAAATTGGTTTTCCTGACCGCAGCAGTATCTCAACTCTTATTAAAAAAGAAAAGAAATATGTATAGAAATCAACATCAAATTCCTAAATTTATAAATACCGTAATTTCTAATAGCTCTCGTTATGAAAATTATAAAGCCAATAATACAAAATCTATAATTAAAAATTATGCCTCACAATATGGGTCTTCTATAGATATCGATGACGATAACGTTGAGCGAGACGAGAAAATGCAAACTTCTAATCACATGACAAACGCGATGGGTAGTGATAATAATGAAAATACAACCGTTGAATATAATAATGTGAGTGATGAAGATATCGACATCGAAAATGCAAGCCAAGTGTCTGTTGATGATAATAATGTTAGTGATGAAGATATCGACATCGAAAATGTAAGCGAAGTAGCTGTTGATGAGCATAATGAGCGTGACGAAGATATCGATATCGAAAATGTAAGCGAAAATGCCGATTCTCAAAGCGTCGGTGACGACGAACAACTTGAGAATGATGGAAATCTTAATGAATTTCATGATATCAATGAAGAAATTCCGGATGATGGGCCTGTTGATGACATATCAAGAAACATTATTGACGCATTATTAAAGGATAAAGTTTTGGATAAAGTTAAAGAATCTAGGGATGATTTGGTACATATATGATTAAATAGGTTTCAAACCGTTTTGAAAAACTATATAAACTTTAACAAATTTACACGTAAATTTACTCGTAGGCCTTCGAAATTTTACTAGAATTGATAAATGAGTGTACCTTGGATGTGGCCTTTGAAGTACATCGACAAGCCAAGACAGGAATACTTGTAAAGGAATTTGTCAATGCACAATCTTATCAGAGCAAAGATTTCAAGTATATCATCAGAATTACTGTATTTTCAGGCTTTAAAAGCTTTCTTTTTTACTTAAAAAATTTATATCAAAAATAGTGACTTTTCGAATTTGATCTGTGAAGAAGGATACGATATTTACGGTCAAGATATCAACGCTTTGAAATCACAAGCAGCAAAACAGCGTTGTCTAAATTGTAGCGTAATGCTTCCAGTTGCAACGTATGTAAAACATTTCTCAAAGTGTCTCGGATTGGTTAAAGGACGCACAGCGACAAGAAATGTTAATTATACAGAGTAAGTAGTTTATGTTCTTATTTTGTTGTGATTATGCTAAAAAATTTTGCACATTGTAGGGAACGAATAGAAAATTTTTCTGTATTTGACTTTCCTGGACATTCTCCGAATGTTTCCTTTATATCAAATGCGGAATTTAATATTGAACAAGGTAATTTTTTACATTTTAACAAATTTTTAAATTCATGAAATTAAACAGATCATTTGATAGATTTGATTGATGACCGTCACATGAGAAATCATACCTATGCTAAGAGAAGAACGATGTTGCCAACTCAGGTACGGTTTATTTACCACTTTAGAGAAATAATTCATTATAAATGTGCTAACGTATAATAATATTAATAGTCTCTGTCGTCGAACACTAAAGATAAAATGTCGACATTATAAATTTTAATAAAGCACAAGCGATTTAGTTATTCCATAATGAACTAATTGTTCGATTATCACCTCATTTTTAACAAATTAAATTTCTTGGCTGAAAATTTCGACTTTATTAGTATTTTTCGACGAATTTAAAATATTATAAATTCTCTAGAAATACCTATATAATGTCACATTAATAGAGAATTACAAATAGCGTTGATTATTAATTATTGCAACGCGAATTCAAAAACCGGTTTTCCTAATTATAATTTGACCATTTTCGAAATAATTTACCCAAAATAAGATTTAATCGACATAATATGATAACATAATATGTACTGCACAACTGCGCCGTGAACTGACAATTTTAACCAGAATCGTACATGCTTGATGACGTAAACATAATGACGCATTAGATAGAAAATAAGGCACAATATAATGTACAAATTATTATATAAAAGCGTCAAATTCATCAACACTTCAAACCAAACCAAAAGGTAAATCTTATTAAAAAAAAAAAAAACAGTAAAAAATTAAAAATTTTCATCATCACTCATGGGAACAAAAATCAAAGCACTTGTACTTAATGCTAAAGGTGAAGAACAAGTTGTTAAAGAAGTAGATAAACCTGTTCCAAAAGCCAAACCTAATGCAGCCATTCCCGGTGAAGTCGGTGACTTATTGGTTAAGGTTAAAGCTGTGGCTTTGAATCCTGTTGACTGGTAAAATACTGCATCTCTTGATAATTCAAACTCCGCATCAAATAATTGATTTTCAATTGGCCATACCATATAATAATAGGAAACAAGCTGAAGCAGGATTTCTTATCGATGCATATCCTGTTACGCTCGGTAGCGATGCGGCCGGAATTGTTGAAGTCGTAGGCGAAGGAATTACCGAGTTTTCCGTAGGTGATGAAGTTTTGGCTTTTACAAAACTTGGAGTTCCTGGCGGATATGGCGCTTTTTCGGAATATTCTCTATTCGAAGCTGCTACCACAATTAAGGTTAATAAACATATTATTATTATTATGATTTATGATAGATCAACTCATTTCTCAATGATTTTCTAGAAACCACCACATTTGTCTTGGGAACAAGCAGCAGCAATTCCTGTCGGAACTTTGACAGCAGCAGTCGGATTGTATCATGATTTGAATCTGCCACTTCCTACCGAGAATCCAAGCTGGTTTCGTGAAGAATTTATTCTGGTAATTACAACATATTAAATGAGTTCTCTTTTTTCTAAATTTTTTAACAAACTTTTTATAAAATAGATTTGGGGAGGCTCTTCCTCGGTTGGTTCTTATGCCGTACAACTTGCAGCTAATACGGGACTTACAGTTATAGCAACAGCTTCTCCAAAAAATCATGATTATCTTAGATCAATTGGAGCTGCTCATGTTATCGATTACAATGCAACTGATATTATTGATCAAATTAATTCTATTACTAATAATCAGTTAAAATATGTTTTTGATCTTATTGGTTCAGAATCTTCTAATATTGGATTAAAAGTTTTGTCACCAAATGGAAAGCTCGCTCATGCATCAGAAGGTCCAACTGATACCAAGGACGGTGTCCAAGTTAAGCGTATTTCTCTTGGTGTGGCTCATAGAGATACTCAAGGTTTTCTCAAGAGTGTTAATAAACTTGCAAAAGTTATTGAACAGTTACTTTTTGAAGGTAGAATTCAACCAAATAATATTGAAGTTATTGAAGGTGGACTTAATGGTATTCCTTCTGGATTACAAAAATTGAAGGAAGGTCGTGTTAGTGCAAAAAAATTAGTGGTTAAACTTGATTAAACTTATCAGATTCCATTATTATTTTTTTGTTAAATTATTTTTCTTCTTTGTATAATAAATTAAATTTGTACTTTTGTTAAATTAATCCATTTATTTTTTCGAAATAAAATTTATTATTGAGTATTGTTGATTAAAAGATTATTAAACTTTAATCATATCATACACCCTTCCTTAAAAACACATAATTCTTATAACCCGATGTTAATATACTGTACAATCAAAGGCGATATCGAACCAAATGCACAAATATAAATTAGAAAACTGTTGATGCTAATATAAATAACCACGCGCTATCAATCTGGCTACACGAATGGAACTTTGTGTAGAACAATATTAAAAACATTAAAACAAGCATGGATTTCAGTATAAATAACCCTCCACAATGTCGAGAAATTACTGTTGTAAGCAATATACCGACAGAACGGTATCACTATCCGCGCCGTGTTACACAATACAAAATCATAGTATTTCACTTGTAAAATAACATATCTGTGGTATAACTTGAATAACTTTTTCAGAACATTCAACATCTATACCATACGAGCTTTTATCAAATAAACCGCTTTTTCCTTTTTAGTTCGTCTTTACCAATCCAAGGATTTTCTTTCAACCCTTGATAAATAACGGAACCTGCCAATAGAAATTAGTTTTACTCTAGTTAAATATTATACAGTTTTTACATATAATTATTCTGATCGTTCCCTGAGGGAACAGTTTTCATCATAAAAACTTGTGATCTATGGGTTAGTACATACGATATTGACGTTCGTGCAATAAAGTAAACGCTATTTGTATAAACATTTCGATGCAAATATGCACACCCACACCACATTGGTTAAAGGTCACGAGCCGATATGGGCAAACAAATACCTTATTTGAAACTTTATATTATGTGAAAAAGTACTTTTTTATTCATAAATAGGGCAAGATTATCCATGATATTTTTAGCTAATGACTTGGTAATTATTTTCAAATTTACTACACATAACCATCATTTTCTGGGACGATAGTAAATTATGAATTGCTGTGTCCTAAAATAAATTCAAAAATTTAATGATAATAAATTAAACCGAAATCTTAATGTACCTGTCATACCAATTAAACTTTTCAATTCGAACAACTCTCTATTAAAATCGTTGGAATCACAACCATTTTGCTCCACGCAAAATCAATCCACCGCACATGTGACTTACTTATCGATTCACTCCTATTTACCATTATATTCTCCAACGTAATATCCCCATGCATCACTCCCCTTGAATGTATACCTTTAATGGTTCTCTTTCCGTGATATCATCGCAAAAGATTTTCCAGAAAGCGATGTTAAAATAAAAACAAAAGCCTCATGAAGGATCCGAATTTCAGAAGAATTTCCTGTAACAAGTACTCACATAACCCAAAAGAGATTTGACTACGTTTATAATTTTTCATATCGTTGGCTTTGTTTTTCTTTTCTTTTTTTGACATGCTGCGATTAAAGTGCTCATAAAAGCACCCTTCTTGAACTGATTGCCGGTATACATATTTATCATAACCATCCCTATTTTTACCATCTCTGTCTCCATCATTCTTATTGTCATCATCATCCTTCTTGTCATTATCGTTTTCATCATTATCATCATCCTCACCATCACTATTAGTCGGTGAAGAATGTATAGTTGGGTTCGTTGTAGATATATTTTCGAAATAATACATACATTCAAGGAACGATGCAATCATCTGTGTGACTTTGATTAATATGAACTGCTGGAGAAATGCAAATATTGTCCGGATTGTCATCCTGACGATAAAAAAACCATGTGCGAATATACGTCGTAAGTAGGCCATATTTGAGGTCATTAACGACCATATATCCAAAATTTTGCCTAACGATTCTGATAATTTTTTGATGTCTAGTATATGCGGTTGTTCCGACATCTTCCGATGCCAATGCTATGCTGTATTATATGCATTAAACAATTCGGTCCCATCAGCCATCAAATTCCTCATCAACTGTTCAGTATCAAAGAAAATTCCGAATCATTCAAACGCTGCATGTTATCAGCCTACAACGTATAGCATCTTGTTGGCCTATGACTTTTTGAAACATATAACGCTTACCCCGACTTTCTGGTCTTGGCAAAAGAATTAATCTTTAGCTTCCATCGTTTTCAAGAACATGTCAACAAAAGAATCTTCAAAAGATAAAGCTCCAGTGATGTTAGGCCTGCTAAACACACGATTACCTGTGTCAAGAGCTGTAGTTGCATAAAAGGCATTAGTAAGAAAATCATCCCATGCTAGAACCGGAATATTAGAAACTGCATTTTAGGAACGGGAAGAACTGTTAGGAAAAGTTCTTGTTCGGTAAGAAATTCTGTAATGTAAAACGAAAAGTGAGAATTAGGAAATGAAATGTTAGAGAAAAAAAAATGGAGTATTTATTACAACCCAGACGATGTGAACAGTAGCTTTCTTTCCAGTGTTGACTAATCTTTACTAGACTGACTTACCGACTGCATAAGGTGGTGGTCCTATGATATTAAATAGGTTTTAGGAATATGTAGCATAAATCAAGGTTAGTATTAGATGCTATGAGAAAAAAAATAAATTCGGGTAACAAAATTCACAACCGTTTTCTTGTTTGGGAGGTAAACATTTACCAGTGAAGGTGGGGACTACGATGATATGAGACACCCGTCCTTAGGTAATTTTTTGTCATTATTAAAATATTTATTAAATTTCAACATAGGATTATTCATCTTTTCGCCCTTGCCATGATTTTAAGTTCATCATGGTAGAAATCTCATCAATTTCATAAAACCCAAGTTCAACTTTCCAAATATTCATTTTGGTTATTCCTTTAACTTCTCTGCTACGAAAGAGAATCTCCCTGAAGTTTGCAACGGTTAAATCGTTAAAGAATATCTTAACACCTTCATTGGTGGTGAAATAATCGCCGATGACAACATTGAAAATATTTTCAGAAGGTTGTCCTAGAATTAAAAAATTTAAAGAAACTACCATTATATTTCTGTAAGATGAAATATATTTTAGAGAGAGAAATTTGAGAGAAAAGAAGTTTGAGAAAACGAGAGGTTTTGAGGATACATATATATCTACTTTTCTATTGATTCTTGATTGATTGAGATACATAATAACTAATAGTAATAAAATAAGAGAGTCTTTTGATCAATTTTATGAGAAATTTTAGATAATAAAAATATAAAAGTTTCATTTTATTATTTTTATTTTATTAATTGTGTTAATTGTAAAAAGCTTATTATTTTAAATGAAGAAAAAATTGAAAAGAACTTTATAGTAGATTTTTATTAAATTTAAAAGGTAATATTAAATATTTCAATATAATATTATTAGTTAATTTTATATAGTAAATGTATTTATTATAATTAATTATATTAAACTTTATTTTAATATAAAGTTTATTAGTATTATTTTTTATTTTTATTATAATTATAAATTTATATTTGATACTTATTCCAAAATAAATTTTATTTAATATAAAAAAATTGAACTATTTATATCTTAAGAACTTAAGTAGAATTCTGAATCTGATAAAATTCAGGTTAACCAATCAAATCAAATAAATAAAAATTAAAAAATTTTTTGATATATTTTTTTTAAAACAAAAATAAATATTATTTAATTATACTTTCTTTTCATATTCTAATAAAATTATTTGTATAATTACTTTATAATTTATTAAAATAAAAAAATTAAATTTTAAATTATAAATATTTTATTCATTGATCAACAAATTTTTTTATTTATTCAATTATTTTAAAAAGATATTTGAGTACTTTAATCAAAAGAAGTAAATTTTGAATATCTAAGTAAAGTTATTCAAGTAAATTCAAAAATATTTAAATGTAAATTTTTATTATGATTAAATTAATAGTTATAGAATTATAATGTTTTTCATAATTGTATTAGTAATCATTAGACTTGCAAATTTATTATAATTATATTTTAAATTCTTCAGTTAATAAACAATATGAAATTTTCAAAAAAAATTATTATAATAATAATCTTTTTATTATTTTTTTGAAAATTTTACTAAAATAATAAAATGAAAAAATATATTAAGGTTTTTTTATATTTTTTTAACAAAATATTAAACAAAATTAATAAAATTAATAATTGTTTAGTTTTATATTAATTATATTATTTTTATAATTGAATTAAATTATTTTTATTTAAAATAAATACTGTTATGTTAAGCTAGTAAAACAAAAAAAAAAATATTTTTTTTTTTAGATAAGTCAGTATAATCGATCTAACATAACCTAATCTAATCTGACCTGAAATCACAGGTCACATCAGGTTAAAATATATTTAATTTAGGTCAATTACCTGACTGGATCCAATCTGTTCAGAACTTTACATATAGACTATTAGTTAATTTCTTATAAATATAACAGAATAAGAAAGATCTTAAAATCAAGAAAATAATCTTTATCTAAATAAATAAATATGAAATTTAAAATATAAATTAAATAAAAAGATTTATCTAAGTAAAAAGTTGTGTTAAATAAATTATTTAGGTTTTACTTAATAAGGTTAATTAATAAATCATAGACGTAAATAAATATTTTGCAATTGAATAAAATTGTTGTTATTTGAATGTATAAAATATGATTTTATGATAATGTTATAAATTACAGAATGAAAAAGTAATATGTAAGGAGAAACTTATGAAATAAAAAAGTAAATCTGATTAGAAAAATAATAACAAAAGATTAATTAGAAAAATTAATCATATGAATTAACTAGAAGAATTATTTATTCAAAAAGTTAATTAGAAAAATCAATTAAAAGGTATAAAATAAAAACTTAAAAATAAATAGCACAAAATAGAGATTAAATATAAAGAAAGGTTATTTAAAAGAAAAGGAAGATTTCAAAAAAAATAAAAAATTTGTAAAACAAATCTAAGTTTTTCGTAAACTTACTTGCGTTCTTTTTCTCAAAATCATCTTGATAATAAGTGGCAAATATATTAAAGCTTTTAAACTAAATGTGCTGCAACTTAAATAAATACAATGTTTATAATTAAATTTTAATTAATTAACATTGTAAAATAAAATTATTATAAAAGTTAAAGTGATTTGGTTTCAAATCAATTTATTTAATTTGTTACAAATCGTAGCGTTTAGGTTCTGAATTACAATCTAAATTTAATGAATAATTATTTAAAATAATAGAGTTAATAAAGGATAGTAATAATGTTTACATTTTCAATATTTAGCTGCTAAATGGTATGCTCCGAATCGTATTACGTAACACAAACTAAAAATTATTGTTATCCGAAGGACTATATACTAACAGACACTTTAATGATCGGTATCCCGTTGTCGGTTTCTTTCGTTACACTTGTGTTCCGGATTTAACAGTTTCGTTAATTAATCGAATGATCTTACAAAGCATACGTGACAAACAACAGAGTCTGGGGGGTAAATACAAAGCATTAGTGAAAATAGTAACACGAACACGCGAATAAAAATGCGTAATAAATTAAAGAAAAAATATTTTAAAATAATTCCTAAAATCAATTATAAATATAAATGTTCTTAAAGTTTTATTAAATAACGTAAAAAAGGTTATGAATTCAGAAATTTTGCCAATACGAAAACTTTGCATAAAATAAATGAACATTATCGAAAAAATCTTAATTCTTATAATAAAGTTCTTAACTAACAAAACGATAAATGTGAAAAGTAAATAAAAAAAATAACGTTCAATTTTGCCAAAGAAAATAAAAGTACTTTAATACTGAAAAGCAATGTTCTACGTTTTTAGAAACTTTGCCTTATATCGATTCCTCATTTATTATCATTGAAGTTATTGTTATTATAACGTTGAGTAGTAGAATTAATTAAGTCTTCTAAAGTATTATTCGATAAATCTTGCCCTAATTCGCGGAGAACGTTATTTGGAGCATGTTTTTTATTGTTATCACGATTATTGGAATGGGTAGTTGATGAATTTTTATTTTCGATGTTTTGAAGTGTGTCATTTACCAAGTTTTCTAACTGTTCACAATTCAAATGTGACAAATCCATATTCTTTTTTGGAAGATTCTTATAGAAATTGTTAACGATTTCTTCAATGTTGTATAATTTATGTGAAATTAATTCTAAACAATTCTTTGATGACATTGTGAATAGTAAAAACAAAATATAGAATAAAGAAGAAAGTAATTGGATTTCGAAATTATTATTATCGTAATCAAAAGGAAAATTTTTTTTAAAGGAAAAACTATCCTTCAAAAGACCCTTTCTGTTCTTTTATAAGTCATTTACATATGTGATACATTCCATACTATTGGGATTCCAATCTTTTTATTTAACATGAACCCAATATTCTAAAGCGATGTATTTATGTTATGCATCGGCGTGACAAATATGCGTCAGTAAGTTAATATCAACAATTTCTTTAAATCAGTAATACAAAACATCCGATTATATTTTCTGGTTATAAAAGTCCGCTACTGAACTTTATCAGCTGTCTTTGTTATTTTTTTTGCAAAGATAATAAAATGAAAGAGAACGCATGCATTATTTATCACCGATATTTTATCAATTAAACATTGTCTACAATTTCTTTGTTGTAAATGAAAATTTCATATAACCAAATATCGATAACATATAAATAAAATTCATGAGGATGAATTGCAACCGTTTTTAAATATATTTAAGCAAATAAATCGCGTAAACTTATAAATTTGATTTTATTTGATTAAATTTATCGGCCGAAGGTATTACTAAGTTACACTAATAAGTTCATGATCATAGTATGTTAGATGTCATATACTTACGTGGAAGTAATAATGTGACGCGTAAAAAAAATATTGGGGCATTTAATTATTAATAAAGACGTTACCCAAACATTTGAGTGGCTCATATTCCATTGAGACTAAACGCCATGTACAACGTTATGTGGTGGCTAAATTAAGGTTATACGAAATCAACATCATCATGAGTCAAAAACATCAAACTTTATTTAGGTACTTGACTAAATTGTTTGTTTATCAAAGATCAGTTAAGGAGCTCCGCACGCATTTTCTTATCATTATTGATGAAACGCTACAATGTTAATGTAATAAAAATGATATAGGATCATACATTGTTCAACTTACTAAAAGGTGCATGTTAATACATAAGTGTTGCCGAAAATTCTGATCCAGATAATCTGACAAACCGAGGTTACGTTGGGTGTAATTTGTAAGTGCATTGATTTGTATCATTGCTATAGGTTGTACGTTTGCTCGAAAGAGACAGTAAAAATAATTCGGTTATCTTCTATTAATAAATTAACCTTCAGACAACATGAAAATTTTCTTTTGCTTATCTAATAAAATAAATAAATTCCTGGATTTTAGGAATATACCACGAATATGAATGTATTTTCTGTAACAAAAATAAATCTGAACTCGAAAATTATTACGCGTTATTATTGATTTGAAATTCATCATTACAAAGAATTATAATATTAAAGCTGTTTTGAGAAAAAATCCGATAATTCAAAGTAAATATCTTTGCTTTGTTTAGATTATCATAGTTGTGATGCCTTTAATGTCACACTGCATATTATGTTCCACTGAAGATTTCATTCAATGTTGGCGGAGAACTGAAAAAGGATAGGATTATTTTCGCGTCTGCCTATTTTAGAATCTTTGTTGGGAACCGAAGAAATTATTATTAATTTTATAGGTGTAATTGTTCTACTTGATTTTCATCTTATTGTTAAGATAGCGTCTTAATAACATACGCTAGACGATAAAAATATTAAAACAAAGAAAAAGACTTTATTAAATTGGTCTTTAATTTCTTTTAAAAATTAAAATTTTAAAATAAACAAAAGAAACCAACCCGAATTTATTACCTAAGTAAGTAAATTTTTTTTTTTAATTTAAATTAAATATGGTTCGCCAGAAATATGAGAATTTTTTTTATGATTTTAACTTTATTATAAATAAAAAGCATTTTTATTTAAAAGGAAATCTTTGAATGTTCGGATTTCTACTCAGCTTTCTTCATTCAAAAAATTCCAATTCAATGCAAATCTACGTGTAAATCTTGTCTTTGGTGTCACAATCAGAATTTATTTTATTTTAAAAAAAAATGATTTCATCCGCAAAACAGCTAAACAATGAATGTCATACATAAAAGTAGTAGTACATATATTACAAATCATAAGTGATTCAAACTTTCTGCATGATATCGTATATAATAAGTATGTAGGTAATGTTGCTTTTGCTATTATAAAATTTTATTGATTAATAAAAGTAGCTAATTTTTCTTTCTTTACACAATTCATGATATATTTAATAATATTAAATATAAAATATCTTAGATTTATTTGATTTATTTATAAAATCTATAAAAAAATAAAAAAAAAATCATTTATAAATCAAAAAGTTCACACCCCAAATATAAGAATAAAGACCCTTATCTAGAGCTCAGATTGGGTACCAGATAGAGCCCACGGATTCGTGCATTTGCATAATTTCGCACTTATGCACTATAATTTCGCATAACACATGCATCGCACTTTCGAGGCAATTTCATTATTTTTTTGCATTTTCACGTGACCTTATATTGTATTTACCATTCGCAGTTTTTTTTTTTTTTTTTACAAAATGGTTATGGCATCAGAGTGATTATCTGAAGGATTCAAATTTTCTTTTTGAGGAGGGTGATTTGGATTTAAATCAATATTGGCAAGAAAAAGAAGAATCCTTCCAAAATAGCTTTAATTTATATATGAGTTACCTATTTCAGGAGTTGATGTTGAACGCAGTTTTTCCGAATTTTGGATAATAGATGCAGATCGCTTTCAGAGAATTCTATTAAAATGTTGTTGAACTTTTTTATATTATAATAAGAAATTTCATCTTTTTGCATATTTTACATTTTTAGTAATTTTGCATCGCACAAACCCGTGGGCTCTAATACGAGATCAGATCAGGTTAACCTACATTAAACACGTATCTTTAGCTCATTGATTCATAGTTTATGTTATGATTACAATCATAGCGGCACATTACTCAAAATATTTGATTACATAAAAACTTCTTAAACTCATTTTGTGAAACAGTTTTAAAGCTAGATATTTCAGACTCTATTTCCAAAATCAGCATCTTTTAAATTCAATAAAATATATTTATTATAATATAAAATAATTTTTTTATTATAAAGTATTAAAATTTTATCTGCCTTTTTTACTTTTATGTTTCATTTTGATTAATTCTAATATAACGATAATAAATATATACAATAAATCTTTATCTTCTCTTTATTATAAAATTTTAATAAAAGAGCAAAATATTCTTTATTTAAATATAATATCATTGTATTATAAATAAATTCATATATTAATTGTTTCCTATCTAATATTTTAATCTGTATATAAAGAGCAAAATATTCTTTATTTAAATATATAATATAATTGCATTATAAATAAATTTATATATAAATTGTTTCCTATCTAATATTTTAATCTGTATATAAAGAGCAAAATATTCTTTATTTAAATATATAATATAATTGCATTATAAATAAATTTATATATAAATTGTTTCCTATCTAATATTTTAATCTGTATATAATAAATCAGTATAATTTTATATCATTAAGTCTAAAGCTCTGAACAGGTCAGGTCAGATCGGGTAATTGACTTGACCCGATCTGATAAGGTCAGTCAGGTCAGACATAAAATTGACCTGAATTAAATATACATTTGACTTAACCTGACCTGTCTAAAAAAGGAAATTAAACAATTATTAATTTTGTTTAATATTTTTTTAAAATATATTGATACATTTTTATATTTGATTATTTTCAAAAAAAAAAATACTAATATAATTATTTTAACTGCAGAATTTAAAATTACAAGTTGTAATAAATCTGCAAATCAGGTTACTGCTAATACAATTATGAAAAACGTTCATAACTTTACAACCATTAATCCAATCATAATAAAATTTTATATGCACATATTTTTGAACTCACTGAACAACTTTACTTACGTGACCAAAGTTGATTTTCTTTGACAAAATACTTAAATTGCTCTTTGAAGTCACTGTACAGATAAAAAATAAAAATAAAAAATTTTGTGAGATAATACAATTAAGAAAAATGTGCATAACTTTACAACTATTAATCTAATCATAATAAAATTTATAAACACATATTCTTGAACCTACTGAACAACTTTATTTACGTGACCAAAGTTGATTTCCTTTGACAAAAATACTTAAATTGCTCTTTGAAGTCACTGTAAGAATAAAAAATAAAAATAAAAAATTTGTAAGATAATACAATTATGAAAAACGTATATAATTTTACAATCATTAATCCAATCATAATAAAAATTTATATGCATATATTTTCAAATCCGTTGAACAACTTTACTTACATGACTAAAGTTAATTTCCTTTGACTAAAATGCTTAAATTGTTCTTTGAAGTCACTAAATGAATAAAAAAAATAAAAATATTTCATGAGATAATACATTCACGAAAATATTTATAACTTTACAACCATTAATACGATCATAATAAAAATTTATATACACATATTTTCGAACTCGCTGAGCAACTTTACTTATATGATAAAAGTCGATTTTTTTTGACCAAAGTACTCAAATATCTCTTTGAAGTAATTGAATAGATAAAAAAAATTAAAATTAATTTGTTAAACAATGTAATTACAAAAAATGGTTATAATTTAAAATTTAATTTTTTGATTATAATAAATTACAAAGTAATTATACAAACAACTTTATTAGAATATAAAAAGAAAGTATATTAAATAAATTAAAAAAAAAAAAGATAAAAAAAAATTTTTTTTTTAAATATTTTATTTTATTTAATTTGATTAGTTGATCTGAATTTTATTAGGTCAGGTCGGGTTAGGTCACAGGTTAACCTGATCTAATTCAGAGTTCTAATTAAGTCTTAAGTTTAAAGAAACTTTATTTTTTATTAAAAGTCGCTTTTAAATAATTCTTGATGAATTTATAATAAGATATTAATATATTTTGCAAAAACTTTTTATATTAAATCTAAGTTGTAATTAAGTCAAACAATTATTTTAGATCTTTTTGCTAAGACTTAATTATAATTTAATTTTAATTTAATTATATATATTATCAATAAAATCTATTGCATATTAAGATAATTGTTATCTAATAGTATAAATGTTCTTTAATATTATTATAAACTAATTAGTTTTGAATTTGTAAATATATAGTTAAGTTTTATTTAATAAATAGTAAAGAAGTTTATTTAATATTATTAATGATTTTTTGACTAAATATTTAAAAATATTTAAAATTTATAAGGTATTCTAAATTAATTAATTGTAAAAAATAATTAAATAGCTTGGAAAAAATACATTTTTTATATTCTAAGTAAAATATATAATATTAATTATATTTACTAAATTAATAAAAAAAAAATTTAATAATTACTTTTATTTGTAACTTGATTACTATCTGGTGGTAACTTCATAACCTACTATTCATATTCTGATAGTAACTTCATAACCTACGTATGGGTGGTTTCTTTATATTTATATCATTATTTCAATTATTTCTTATATACTATAGTAGTAATTTCATAGTCTAATAATAACTGAGAATGCTTTAATTTAATAGTAATGTCATGATCTAATGGTTACTACTTTCTTCTTGTTCCTAATTCATTTACATTATAAACTCTACATTGTTAATATTGGCTTTTCATCCTTATTTGAATGCCTGGTTCTATGTTGAGGATACTAACACTCTGTGCTTATTTGGATGCTAGTTCTTTATTGAGAATTTACACATATTTGTTTGCCTTTTAGAATACTGAAATAGTGTAAAATAGAGGCAATAAGTGACGTGGTAAATTTGCAATTAATTTTGACTAGCACTATATCATAATTTTGGCTAATCTTTTGGATATGTGATTTGAGGATCCAATTTGGTGTCGTAATAGTGTCCTGATAGTATCATAGAATTATTGTGAAATTGTTACAGAACTTGTAGGAAATCAGAGATATTCTATTAGTTTGCCAGTTTTATACCAGCATAGGTGATAAATTATTATATCCAAAGTTCTGGCTGAAGTTATCGAATAGTGCTGGCTGAAATTATCATTGATTTATTGCTCTAATGTGAATAATCGCAGAAGATACAACTCTACATATATTATTAGGGAATCATATAATAATATTCTCAGAAGGCTCTATGTCAAATAATACGTTATGTATATATTGTTAGAAGAATCATATAATAGCATTTTCAAAAAACTCTATGTCAGATGACATATAGCAAAATCTGATAAAAATTATGTCTTATAATGTTAGCTGAAATTATTTGTATTCTACTGCATTTTAAGTTCTGAGTATTTTCTTATTACTTTTGAGGGATATTTGCGGGATGTTGTAAGCACTTCTGAGACCCAATCATGGTTTAAACTGGATTAAAGTAATAAGTATGCTATTTTTATTATCATGGAATCTCCTATCACCATGAAATTTTTTGTCACTAAGAGAAAAATTGATGATGACGCTCTTGGTAACGCTACACTCTTCTATGTTTTTTAAAAGTTTGGAGACGTTTGATTATCTTCCTTTATATCTATCATCTTATCATTAAGAGTCACTAAAAAAAGTAAAGATATAGAAAAAAAAATCAAAATCTTACACGCATTCCCATAATATACATACCACAGGAATTTTTCCACCCACCTTTACGACAAAAAAAAAAAAAAAAAGTTAAGAAGTTCAATTTTTTTAGTGATTCTTAGTGACATGGTGATACCCATCTGGAAATAAATTTTGTTTCAAAAGTGTTATTAAGAATTTTTTTCTTTGTGACAAGAAATTGTGAAAACTGTATTCTTAGGATATGATTAGAATGCTTCTATTTATACTTAATTGCTTACCAGTCCTGTGTCGAAGATAAGTCAGCTAGCTTTTTCTGATAGTACTGTTTTATTTTACAGTAATTTCTAACATAAATATCACAAGTATCATATTTAAAAAAGGTTAATTTACCGCATTTATTACAAGGTGTACATGAAGGAAAATTTCAATGAATTTGACATCTTTCTGATCAGTAGCATCCCTAATTGCAAACTTCACCACTCCTGAGAATATAAAGACATCGATAAAATGCCATTTTTGATATTTATGATTAGTTGGTTTATATATTGATTTATATATTTCAGAATTAATTTTCATTTTAAACTTTTTTCTCCTGAAATATATACTTTCTTTCAAATTATATATTTGTGACATATTTTCATAATCCAATCTGAGCTTTCAGAGTTCCTTGATGCTCCCGCCCTATACAAATAAGATTTTAAAGCTGAAGATATCAGTGAAATCTTATATAAAATTTGTGATGATAGTATTAGACCAAGACATTTCCTTAATACAGACAATGCAGATGAAATAAAAGCCATACTCTCAGATTATAAAGAATATTCCTTACACAAATTTATTGATGAAGATGAACCACTTCATCCTATCATAGATTTTGATTTACCAATAGAAACGCTAATGCTATAACTCCTCAGCTTTCACACAAACAGGTGAAAATTTTATTAATTGCGCTTTTAGTCTAGAAATTTCCCAAAATGGAATAAAGAAAATATGTCTATTGCCAAAAGTAGTAATGAGAAAAAAATCTCTCTATATGTCTTAAATTTCAGTATGAGATTTCTAAATATTACTAAATCTTCAGTTTTCACTAAACTTATTCGTAAAAAACTTCCAGTAGGATTGCAGAAAAAGGTATTATCGATAATATAGCAAATATAGGTCTTTACAAATCTTTCTCTTTGCGAATGCTTGGATCACCTAAATACAATAAAAAAACAGAGGAATATATTCGTGTAAAAAAAGCTATCTGTCTAAAAAATGGAACTATCTTTGATTTCATGATTCGTTCGCCTAATGATGATTCTAAAGTCATTGATAGTTCTCTCTTGGCTATTTCAGAGCCAAATGTTAAAAGATGCATGACCAAAGTAAATGAAAATAATGATATAAGTAATGAAACCACTCAGGCTAAATTCGATTTTGTGAAATCATTATTTAGAAAAAATGGTATAAAAGAGTATATTCTCTCATTCTCTTCAGATAACCTTCCAAATCTATTTCCATTAATATGCAACTTTCTATTACACTGCCCAATATGTGATCAGGAGCATATAAATGAAAATAAATATAACATATAAAATAAAATCATATAACTTTAAATGTTATCACGCAAATCATGAATGAAATCCTGGAACAAGTAATCGCTCAATAAAGCTCACTTTTAGTAAAATTGCTTTAGATAGAGAACAAAAGCTTTCAAGTCTAGTAAAATAGACTGATCTAGAATATCAGATCCCAATGACCATTTTGTGTGGGATAAGTTACTACGTATGTGTACTTCAGGTAAAATATTCTCTTATGTTGAAGTTTATGAAATGATTTAGGCATCAGTTGCCTGTATTCAGAAAACTTTACAGACCTGAATACTTAAGCTCAAAGATCCAGAAAATGGCCTTCATTTTGATATAGCATCCAAACTAGATTTTGCTAAGATTGGAATCAATATAATTAAATATGAAGGGGAATCGGTAAAGTTAGAATCATTGATAAGTCAAGCAGTTACCAAAAGTATAATATTTTATGATAATATGAATTTTCTTCCATATTCTTTGAAATGTTCATGTCCAACTACAGGGTACTTTAATTTTTTCTTAGGATTTCTAACCAAACTGATAAATAAGATTAATTCTGAAATTATGAATCCCATCCTTTGGCATACAAAGAATATAATTAGTGATGAAAATGTGAAGTTTCATGAATATCTTTAGAACTGATGGGTATATCTAGTGCAAAAACCAGAAAAAAAACCTTGCTCAATTCTGGTCTTAAAATCTATGCTTTAGCAATATAGGAAAAATATTATTATAGATTTTATTGGGAATAAATTCTGGATCTGCATCTTCATTTTACAACATCAGATTTGGGTAAAATTCTTAAACACTTTAATAGTTCTATCCAAATTAGAAAGCTAATTATTATGAATGAGACAGGAATGTCTAGTGGAGAATGGCATAGGTTTAATGAACATCTCAAATCCCTTATAACAGAAGGGAAAGTAGCTATAGAACACAAACGCCTAGAAACTATACGAATAAATAATTATGTTAGATATATGGTTACAAGCAATCAGGATGCATTGCTTAAGATAAATATAGGAGATTCTCGTATAGTCTGTTTTGATGTTTCAATACACTGTATAGGTAATACATCATATTTTAACCAGTTAGGAAGTGTCCTAGACTATCCTGATACATCAGGAGTAGTTATGACATATCTTCTTAATCATGATATATCTAATTAGAATCTGGAAGAAATCCCTTCTACAAAAATAAAGTAGATACAATACAGGATCAGTTTCCCAATCCCATTCGATTTATGATTGATTATATTGCATCTTGGCCTGTTGATAATGTAGAAAGGAGAAGTCGTATAACACTATATCAAAATTATCTTGATTGGTATAAAGAGAATAGTGAAAAACCATTGGCTAGTAAAGTTGCCAGAAAGAAGTTTTCTCAAATTGGAATTGAGAGTAAATAGGTATGAGCAGGTAATAGAAAAGAGAATGCAATATATTCTCAACTGCATTAAAATTATAGCCAAGCTTTGTGAATCTGGCCTAGATGATATGGAAGAATTTTTTGATATATCTCAAGATGACTTACGTTTGCAGAATGATCCTACAGACATACTTATATTTAATGTACTAGAAACAGTCATAGAGAGACCAACTATTCCTCCAAAAATAATCCTGTCTCAGCCAGAAAAAAGTATGTTTCCACGTAGAACTAGTAAAGATAAGAAGGCAGATAAATAGGACAAATTGAGCTAGGACCTATTTGACTATGTAGTAGAAGATACCTATATCCCTGTCACCTCAACATCTGGAATATTTGATATATCTAGTATATCTGTGACTTCTAAAATACCTGAGCCAGTAATTGATAAGCCCAAATCTATCAAGCCTGTAAGTAAAAATATGAATATGCCTTCTAAAGAGACAAGTGTCAAGTTCAATTTCCCAAAGCCTATTAGTTAAACTGTGAATATGCCTTCTAAAGAAACAAGTATCAAGCGTAATTTATACAAGCCTAATGAAGTATCATCTGTTATACTTCTATCTAGAGCTCAACATGAAAAGCATTTCAGAAAAAGGGCAGTTAAACTTGGTGAGAATCCAGATGTCTTCATAATCATTACTGAGAAAAACAGGCTTGATTACATCACATTTCGGGATAGGATGTAAAATATGTGGTTATGCAGAAGAGTTAGAAGAAGATTCCAAAGAATATATGAACATGAAAATACGGGAAAGATGTATAGAAGAAGAAATAATCCATTGTAGTCTTGAGGATGAGGGAGTTACATCCTTCTGGCTTAATATTGATGAGAAATGGAAAAAAACAGTAAATATACTCCAGAAGAATGATATGCTTTGATAATTGATCTGGCTAGACATATTTATAGATAGGTATTCATAATAGAGGTTTTTTCCTTCATTTAGAAATACAAGATATAAAAAATTCAGAGCTGAGAGCACTTCGCATAAATTTTAAATATGAAAATGAGTATATATATAATAAAAAAATGTCTTATAATTGGTTATTAGTTAGAGAAACCCATTTTTGTAAAAATCTAACACAAGAATAATAGTGTGCCTTCTATGTATTCAAAATATGAAAGGGTGTAATAATCCCATAACCATGTAAAGGATGTAATAGAGGTACTAAATCAGGCGTTCAGCTTTATGTCTCATATGAACAGGGTAAGAAAAGAGAATATATATATTATAAATAGAAGTATATAGAAAATAAGTCAAAGAAGTAATTTTAATATTTTCTCATATGCTAATTAAAGATATCATTTTCATAAGTACTAATCAACTATTATCAGTTTTATAAATGCCAATTTCAGTAATCCAAATTCAAGAATCAGACGCTTCTAATGAAGTGTTTAACCTTCTAACTGAATATTGGATCAAAACTAATTGGAAGCTATTCCAGAAGCTGATTCAAGAAAGTTTCAGATACGCTAATAGACTTTCAGATTATTTAGAAGATATTGGAATTATATGCATTGGTGAATTTGAATTAGATATCTTAGCTAACTTCTACCACTCAGCCTTAATTCTGCTTCTATCTATCTTAGCAAATAGATCAGATATTCGTAAAAGATTCCCTATTAGTGTAGAATCTGCCGTTAAGGGTGGTATGTATTTATTTACCTGAAAAAATAGACAGTTCTCATTTCAGAATTTAATCCAAATGAATTATTCTAGTGATAGCTTATTTATGCTAATAGGAATAACTTGAAAGCGTTGTTAGTGATAGTCTAGTTATGACACATTAGTACTGCGCCAATTACAATTAGCGAATGATGATCCCATCGATCATAGATCTCAACTTTCTCTAATTTCTATAATTTCTATCATTTCTCTAATTTCTTAGCGATCTTAGCGATCTATAATTTCTTATATATCTTATATATCTTATTTATCTTTAATTTCTTATTTATATTATATTTCT